TAGGTGGAGTGAAGCACATTGTTAGGTGGAGTGAAGCACATTGTTAGGTGGAGTGAAGCACATTGTTAGGTGGAGTGAAGCACATTGTTAGGTGGAGTGAAGCACATTGTTAGGTGGAGTGAAGCACATTGTTAGGTGGAGTGAAGCGCATTGTTAGGTGCAGTGAAGCGCATTGTTAGGTGGAGTGAAGCACATTGCTAGGTGCAGTGAAGCACATTGTTAGGTGCAGTGAAGCACATTGTTAGGTGGAGTGAAGCACATTGTTAGATGCAGTGAAGCACATTGTTAGGTGGAGTGAAGCACATTGTTAGGTGGAGTGATAAGCACATTGTTAGGTGGAGTGAAGCACATTGTTAGGTGGAGTGAAGCACATTGTTAGGTGGAGTGAAGCACATTGTTAGGTGGAGTGAAGCACATTGTTAGGTGGAGTGAAGCACATTGTTAGGTGCAGTGAAGCACATTGTTAGGTGCAGTGAAGCACATTGTTAGGTGCAGTGAAGCACATTGTTAGGTGCAGTGAAGCACATTGTTAGGTGCAGTGAAGCACATTGTTAGGTGCAGTGAAGCACATTGCTAGGTGCAGTGAAGCACATTGTTAGGTGCAGTGAAGCACATTGTTAGGTGCAGTGAAGCACATTGTTAGGTGCAGTGAAGCACATTGTTAGGTGCAGTGAAGCACATTGTTAGGTGGAGTGAAGGACACTGTTAGGTGCAGTGAAGCACATTGTTAAGTGCAGTGAAGCACATTGTTAAGTGCAGTGAAGCACATTGTTAGGTGCAGTGAAGCACATTGTTAAGTGCAGTGAAGCACATTGTTAGGTGGAGTGAAGGACACTGTTAGGTGCAGTGAAGCACACTGTTAGGCGCAGTGAAGCACATTGTTAGGCGCAGTGAAGGACACTGTTAGGTGCAGTGAAGGACACTGTTAGGTGCAGTGAAGGACACTGTAAGGTGCAGTGAAGCACACTGTTAGGTGCAGTGAAGCACACTGTTAGGTGCAGTGAAGCACACTGTTAGGCGCAGTGAAGCACATTGTTAGGTGCAGTGAAGGACACTGTTAGGTGCAGTGAAGCACATTGTTAGGTGCAGTGAAGCACATTGTTAGGTGCAGTGAAGCACATTGTTAGGCGCAGTGAAGTACATTGTTAGGCGCAGTAAAGCACATTGTTAGGCGCAGTGAAGCACATTGTTAGGTGCAGTGAAGGACACTGTTAGGTGCAGTGAAGCACACTGTTAGGTGCAGTGAAGCACACTGTTAGGTGCAGTGAAGCACACTGTTAGGTGCAGTGAAGCACAGTGTTTGGTGCAGTGAAGCACAGTGTTTGGTGCAGTGAAGCACAGTGTTTGGTGCAGTGAAGCACAGTGGTTGGTGCAGTGAAGCACAGTGGTTGGTGCAGTGAAGCACATTGTTAGGTTCAGTGAAGCACAGTGTTAAGTGCAGTGAAGCAGTGTTTAGTGCAGTGAAATAGTGTTAGGTGCAGTGAAGCAGTGTTAGGTGCAGTGAAACACAGTGTTTGGTGCAGTGAAGCACAGTATTTGGTGCAGTGAAACAGTGTTAGGTGCAGTGAAGCACAGTATTAGGTGCAGTGAAACTGTTTGGTGGAGTGAAACAGTGTTTGGTGCAGTGAAGCACAGTGTTTGGTGGAGTGAAACAGTGTTTGGTGCAGTGAAGCACAGTGTTTGGTGAAGTGAAACAGTGTTAGGTACAGTGATCTCTTGCTCCACTAACCTCCACTATAACCTCTATAACTTCACAACGTCTTATATGATCACTTTTAAATTTTCAACTCTGGTCAAGTAGTAGTATTCGAAGGTCTGTAAAACAATTGACAAGTGATGCTGCTGCTTCTTAATGTTATATAAATTATTCCCGAGTTGGTTTCCGCGAGATAACTTGATAAATCACTTCTGAAAAGCTTCAAAATTTCAACATCGGTGAATCCTATTTAGAAGACGATTGATATTATTAATGAAGAGTGTGGAGGCCATTTTGTTATCTTTAATCTCGATATAGTATATTAACATTTTACATTTACATAACTGGATTATGCTTCCAGAAGGGGAAATGCCGTGAAGCTGGTGATGGACTCTTGATCCAAGGAACTGAATTTATCATCTTGCTGGGATCGATCCTCATTACCTTCTCTGCCTTACCAGCTATATAGCCCAACCGATTTAACGCTTTCCACTCTTTAATATAAAATCATTCTTAACGGCATCACTTTTTAATGGCTTTTGAATCGTATGAAGTGAATTAATGTTTATTGTATATAGACGATGCAAGAGCTAATTTTATTGTATATAGACTTTCTTTTTTATTATAATTATTGTATATAGACTTAATTTTTTATTATAATTATTGTATATAGACTATGCAGGAGCCAGTTTTATTGTATATAAACTATGCAGGGGCCAGTTTTATTGCATATAGACTATGCAGGAGCCAGTTTTATTGTATGTAGACTATGCAGGAGCCAGTTTTATTGTATATAAACTATGCAGGAGCCAGTTTCATTGCATATAAACTAAGCAGGAGCCAGTTTTATTGCATACAGACTATACAGGAGCCAGTTTTATTGTATATAGACTAGGCAGAAGCCAGTTTTATTGTATGTAGACTATGCAGGAGTCAGTTTTATTGTATATAGACTATGCAGAAGCCAGTTTTATTGTATGTAGACTATGCAGGAGCCAATTTTATTGTATGTAGACTATGCAGAAGCCAGTTTTATTGTATGTAGACTATGCAGGAGCCAGTTTTATTGTATGTAGACTATGCAGGAGTCAGTTTTATTGTATATAGACTATGCAGAAGCCAGTTTTATTGTATGTAGACTATGCAGGAGCCAGTTTTATTGGATTCTGTGCAATAACTGGAGAATGCATCTTTTAATCTGCTTCAGTCTTTTATTGTTGTTGTGGTTTCATCAAATTAACCGTTTTCCTGATATCAAATTGTTTAACTTTTCTTGATATTAGATTGTTTAAGTTTTAATGTGCTTATTTTTAACCACTTTTTTGTGAAATAAATAAAAGATGCCTCGTATCAGAAATTACCTTAGGATAAATCTACATCAATTACTTTTCTTAATGTCTTACATGTGTTCATTCAAGACCATTGTAATATAAATATTTTGTTATGTACCAGAAGCTGAAATACTAGTTACTAATTTAGTTTCGTAGTTATTTATATACTAAAAGATAGTTATTCTTACTTAGAGAAAAGTTTTGGTTGATATCGGCCTGTGTATTTCCCAGCTTGAATTTTGTGGAAAAAAATAGGATAATTTAAATACTGCTTTTCATGCGATAATTTCTGAGCGTCGCTTCCAATTAGCTTCATCACTAATATCGAAAGCATCCTTTGATCAGCTTCAAACTTAATATGCAGGCTCGTTTTAGGACATTGGTCTCTCTGAGATAAGAGAAGGCAACTTCATTTTCACTTCAAATTTAGCGTTCCTAAGTGGAAGGTTTGAATTAGATTTAGGATGTGTATATCCAGTGGACCCTCGAATTTAGTAGTGCCTTTTCTGCATGCAAAACTATTTTTATTATCTATAAAATGTATTGTTTGTTAATATTTTTGGGTGTCTGGAATGGTTTAATTGGATTTACATTATTCCTATGGGAAATATTAACAAAACATACATTTTATAGATAAAAATAGTTTTGCATACAGAAAAGGCACTACTAAATTCGAGGGTCCACTACCAGTTTTATTGAAAAAAATAGGATATTAGTTTCCAGGTGATAACTTGTGAATGCCTTTTCTGATTCACTTCAAATCTTCAACTCGAGTATTTAACTGCAATACAAACTTGTGCAGTATTTTGTACTGTTTCAGCTGTGTACACTGACTCTCAGGGAACTGTGACCGAAATACATTAGTTTACAGTGATTTCTTATCAATTTCTAGGATTTAAAGATTGAGTTGCAATTTGGTAATTACGAAAATTATCTGATCGATGAAGAGAAGGAGAGAGGGACTTTGTTCTCCTGCAAATGTATTTTTAATTCGGATTATCACAAATAAGTCGTCCTTTTTTACGTTTTTTTTTTTATTATATCTCACGTAAACAGTAACATAATTTGGTAATGTAAACAATGCACGGAACACGTTCTGATCAGGTTGATGTTTATTTAAATTAGTATTTTTAATTAAGAAAGTTGATTCACGGACGACATGGATGTATTTCACCCAACACAAATCATGCTACAGGGATGTATTTTTTTTATACAGTCGCATTTTTCCCAGATTGTGAATTTTAGCAGGACTTTCATGTCTAGCACATCTCCATAGAAGTTTTCCATTAATGTTGCCCATAACAGTTGTCTAACACACAGGTATCTATTTTTACTGTTAGGTGGGAAAACTGTTAACATATAAATAAGGAACACTGCAGCAGACCTGTTGGCCCATACTAGGCAAGTCCTTCACAATCCATCCCACTAACAAAATATTTGCCATACATTATACCTCCCCAAGGACTGTGACCTGAACCTTCTTGATATTGAGTTTAAGATTTAATTAAGATAAATGACCTGAAATCTGAACACTTTCAAAGAATCTGGTCAGAAGGTAATCCCGCCAGGTGACTAATAAATCAACCCCGAGAAATGGGCACCATATTTACATGAGGTTCCTAATTTAAAAAAAAAAAAGGTTTCGTTCTTTGTATTTTAACAATTGTGGAAAGATAAAGTATTAAACATTCTTGTTCAGTGGCACAAGTGTGAAATTTAATTTGTGTAATTTGTTGCATCTGTCAGGTGGAGAACTCCTGTTATGACTGTAAACACTGGCCTGATTTACTAAATATTTAATCTAAGAATTGCTAATCAAAACCAATGAAAGGCATAATATGAAATGATTCGACAGCTTTACGAATAATTACAAAAAATCTATAATATCTGAAGTGTAGACGTACAAATATCTAGCGGATATTAGTTACGAAATAAATAAAATCAATGTGTAAGTGAAAAATATTAGTACTTACCCAAGCATAAGACTCCAGCTCCAGGGTAGATCAAGGAAGAACGCTGATGCAATGCCCATTGTTACTGTTTCTACTAAACAAGGAAGGAAAGCCAAGCGTAGTACAGTGCAGCTTAACTTCTTCAGGGCGACTGGATCCAGTCCGAGTCCAGCACGTATTAATATAATTGTAAGTGCAATGTTCCTGTAAAATTAAATGATGTATTAATTGATAAAAAAAATCACTTTCAGAAGTGGCAGTTATTATGTTTATACTTCCAGTTTGGGAGATAATCAGGTTTGATACTTGGAAGGTAAAGGTAACTCCAATTCCATGGATAAAGAGCACTTCACCAGGACAGTCACCTCAGTGAAGGGAACGGCAGATAAACTTTTATGAAACTAAAGGATAAAACCCTTTAAAATATATAATTTTATGATGGAAAAACTTTCCATATTTCATTACTGATGAACTTACTAAAAGTTTAGGAACTGCTCGAGTTGATTAGATTATATTATATTAATCTAACTAGGCTCAGTTCACTTTTTTTATATATGAAGCTAATACCCTCTTCACAAGAATGATTATGGACACAACATTACAATATACGAAACTTTAAGCAATTGTTCTCTGAATTACATTATAAACTTGAGGTAGTTTCTCTGATATCAGTCTATATGATTTTACTTTACTGGTTGTTATGCACGGGTCTGCATTGCATTGTATTATATATATAGTGGAGAAGTGTGCCATAATAGTATGAATGATTGTAAAGCTTAATTTTATAATTCATAATGTGCATTTGGGGGTACTGTAAAGTACTTTAAACTGTAAATGTAAGGAAATCCTGCCAGGGATTCATTTTCCAACTTTGTTTTGGTTAGCGGGAAAGTGTGACTTGGGGGGGGGGGGGGTCACGTGGAGGCGGCGTAGAGGAAGAAACTGGGGAGGCGCTTTATATCTGAGCTAGGTTTGGTACTCGTTTGTTTATACAACTCAAGCCTGAGGCGCTTTTGTTTACCTGGGCTTTTGATATGGCCAGAGCTCTGTTAGCTGAGTGGAGAGCTGTTGAATTTGGATATGGTGTTGGCAGGAGAGTAAGGTATTGTAGGGCCTGGTGTCTTCTGTGCACCACCTCATACGTCATGTACTCACCTAGCTGTGGTTGCAGGGGTCGATCCATAGCTCCTGGCCCTGCCTCTTCACCGACCGCTACTAGGTTACACTCCCTGCACCATTAGCTTTATCATACCTCTGCTTAAAGCTATGAATGGATCCTGCCTCCACTACATCGCTTCCCAAACTATTCCACTCCCTGACAACTCTGTGACTGAAGAAATACTTCCTAACATCCCTGTGATTCATCATCTGTGTCTTCATCTTAAAACTGTGTCCCCTTGTTGTTGTGTCCCATCTCGGGAACATTCTGTCTCTGTTAACCTTGTCAATTCCTCTTAGTATTTTATATGTCGCTATCATGTCCCCCCTATCTCTCCTGTCCTCCAGTGTTGCCAGATAGATTTCCCTTAACCACTCTTCGTAGGACACACCCCTTAGCTCTGGGACTAGTCTTGTTGCAAACCTTTGCATTTTCTCTAGTTTCTTTACGTGCTTGGCTAGGTGTGGGTTCCAAACTGGTGCCGCATACTCCAATATGGGCCTAACGTACACAGTGTACAGGGTCCTGAATGATTCCTTCTTAAGATGGCGGAATTCTCTTTATGTTTTACTGCGACTCTACAGCCGCCGGCTCCTTATTTACCTTTATTTGGGCGTTTAGGGTAAGAGATATATGAAAGTGGTTTTTCTAGTTTGTGTGTATAATGTTACTGCTAATAAATGTATATTTTCCTAACTAGGAATTGTGCCTAACCCTCTGATAACCAACTCATTGAAGTTATAAGTGCTGTTTTAGCACTTACTGTTTTGACTGGAATAGCCCTGGCTGGTCTAGATTTACTAGAGATGTGTGTAACTTTTACCTTTGCCCGTAAAGAAGTCCCATAGACCCCAGGGAATCTCTCTGCGTACCACTGGGTACCAAGTTTTGTGCATTAATTTACTGCAATCGTCATAATTTACGATAATTAGTAATGACTCGTTCAGAGGAAGTGTTTGGATTAATGAATGTTCGAAGAATCTAATGTATTTATAATTTATAAAGATAATTGAACATACCATGAATAAAGTTTTATTCATTAAATAATTATACAGTTAATAATTTATGAAAGTTGAATATTTAATCAGTGCTTTACATATTTTATGGAACGTAATAAATCTTACCTTAGAACAGACGAATAATATATATCAATATTATGACCAAGAGCATTTATCCCAGGAATACTGCTGAAAAGTATTCCCATTACCAAGTTGCCAAGTAATGAAGGTAGGCCTACAAAGTCGGCCATCAGCCCAGCCAGCAGCGCCATCACATACAGTAAGAGGAGACTAAATAACTTCCCACCAGGAAGAGCCATCTCCCACGTAATAGAGATGAGGCAGCCCCATAAAGCCAGGCACAACACTATCCAAATGAGACAATCTCCAATCTGATTAAAATAAAGAAAATTAATTTTAATACACAATGGCTTATAATTGTATAAATAATGTTCAGTGTATTATAAAAACACTAAAGATTAATACTGTTATTAAGAAATTCTGACTACTTACCGAATCATTATAACATCGAAAACTAAGAGCAAATCTAAATGATAAAAAATCCAAAAGTATTTATCTTTCACGCAACTCGTATCATGATAAATTAATGCATAATTCTTACTTTTCCATGGGGCGGACAAGAGAAGGCATATTTTATACGCTGTGTCGTTGTTGGGTTATCAGGGAGATCACTGTGGCTCCTCAAGCAGGAGCTGCAGCATCCACGAGATGAAGCTGACTTGTCAGATTGTTTTGCTTGTAAATCTTCTGTGTCTTCTGTTATTGTTGAACCTAATAATTAACTAGGTATTATTTAAAGCGTGGTCAAGAAGCATGTATTATTTTAGCACACATTATCTATATCATCAGGTATTTATTTAGACATTTATTGAGAGATTCATGAATTAACTTTCAAATAGAGTTAATACTAATATATTTAAATTTATTTATCGTATACTGATTCTTAAGAGGCATTATTAGATACCCCAAATGGGCACCAAATAGCTATTTACGGAATCTTTATCCTTCCTCAAAGGATTTCCTTTATAAGTTGAGAACGATCAATAAATCGGCGACAGATTTTCAATGTTCTTGAAGATTCGAAATGGCCGTAAAACATTTCCCTGTCATATGATAGCAAATATTTCGAGCCATAACCCTACCCTCATCTCAGAATTAAATATCCATCAGAATGGGAACCCAGGCTAACCAATTCCAATGATAACCAAAAGTGCCCAGATCGATTCCTCATGCTACCTTGGAATGGACAATATGTATAATATAGAGTTACACTAGTGCCTGTAGAATGGCCGACACATAGGATATAGCGAAGCTGAAGGAAGATGGTACCTTCCGTTTCTAAGAGACAAGTAAGATCAAGTAAAACTGATTGGACAGTTTGATAACTTCGTTACAATGGGATCAGATGCCCACAGAGCATAGGGTAAGTAAGCCCAAAAATTTCTGAAGGAGTTAGATGTAAAATACGTCACTGGAAACCGAAGACCCCAGAGCGGCGGCGACCTTTGTGACTTTTGTGATTCAGAGGGGAAATACTACATCCTAGGCACATGGCCTAGATGAAGAGTTTTAAATGTAGGTTTTGTGATGCCACACCTGTTGCTTTTGTTCACAATGTATCTAACACACACACACACACACACACACACACACACACACACACACACACACACACACACACACACACACAGGAAGACAGCAGCGAGTCATGGTACGTGGCGAGGTGTCAGAGTAGGCACCTGTGATCAGCGGGGTCCCACAGGGGTCAGTCCTAGGACCAGTGCTGTTTCTGGTATTTGTGAACGACATGACGGAAGGAATAGACTCTCAAGTGTCCCTGTTTGCAGATGACGTGAAGTTGATGAGAAGAATTCATTCGATCGAAGACCAGGCAGAACTACAAAGGGATCTGGACAGGCTGCAGACCTGGTCCAGCACTTGGCTTCTGGAGTTCAACCCCACTAAGTGCAAAGTCATGAAGATTGGGGAAGGGCAAAGAAGACCGCAGACGGAGTACAGTCTAGGGGGCCAGAGACTACAACCCTCACTCAAGGAAAAAGATCTTGGGGTGAGTATAACATCAGGCACATCTCCTGAAGCGCACATCAACCAAATAACTGCTGCAGCATATGGGCGCCTAGCAAACCTCAGAACAGCATTCCGACATCTCAATAAGGAATCGTTCAGGATCCTGTACACCGTGTACGTTAGGCCCATATTGGAGTATGCGGCGCCAGTTTGGAACCCACGCCTAGCCAAGCACGTAAAGAAACTAGAGAAAGTGCAAAGGTTTGCAACAAGACTAGTCCCAGAGCTAAGAGGTATGTCCTACGAGGAGAGGTTAAGGAAAATCAACCTGACGACACTGGAGAGATAGGGGGGACATGATAACGACATACAAAATACTGAGAGGAATTGACAAGGTGGACAAAGACAGGATGTTCCAGATATGGGACACAGCAACAAGGTGACACAGTTGGAAGTTGAAGACACAGATGAATCACAGGGATATTAGGAAGTATTTCTTCAGCCACAGAGTAGTCAGGAAGTGGAATAGTTTGAGAAGTGATGTAGTGGAGGCAGGATCCATTCATAGCTTTAAGCAGAGGTATGATAAAGCTCAGGGTTCAGGGAGAGTGACCTAGTAGCGACCAGTGAAGAGGGGGGCCAGGAGCTTGGACTCGACCCCTGCAACCTCAACAACTAGGCGAGTACACACACGCACGCGCGCGCGCACACACACACACTGCTGGACAGGCTACAAGCCTGGTTCGACAAATGGCTCCTGGAGTTTAACTCCAGCAAGTGCAAGGTTATGTAGCTTGGTGAAGGGCAAGGATAAAAGAACGCATACGAAGTACAGCCTAAGAGGTCGAAGGCTGCAAAACTAAAAGGAAAACGATCTTGTGGTGAGCATCATAACGAGGACATCTAGTGAGGCGCATTTCAACCAAATAACTGTTGCAGCAAATGGACGCTTGATCTAACCTGAGAATAGTTTTTCGACATCTAGGAAAGGAGTCATTCACGACACTGCACACCGTGTACGTCAGGCCCATATTTGAGTATGCAGTACCAGTATGGAACCCACACCTGGTCAAACACGTCTAGAAATTTGAGAAAGTACAAAGGTTTGCAACAAGACTAATTCCGGAGCTGAGGGTGTTGTTATAAAACAAGAGGTTAAAGGAACTCCACTTACACAAATAACCCGCACATAGAAGAGAGGAGCTTACGACGACGTTTCGGTCCGACTTGGACCATTTAAAAAGTCACACAAGAGCATTGTTAGTATCGGCAAGTTTAACACTATTTTTGTGCTTCCTAAGTCTGTCAACACTTGACAACACTGGAAGACAAGAGGAATAAGGAGGACATGATAACGACATACAAAATACTGAGAGGAACTGACAAGGTGGATAGGGACAAAATGTTTCAGAGATGTGACACAGCAACAAGAGGTCACAACTACAAGTTGAAAACTCAGATGAGTCATAGGAATGTTAGTATTCCTAGAGTCATAGTGTTGCCAGGAATTTGAACAATATTAGACTGATGTAGTAGAAGCAGGATCAATACATAGCTTTAAGGAAAGGTACGATAAAGCTCATAGAACAAGGAGAGAGTGGAACTAGTAGCTTCCAGTGAAGAGGCGGGGCCAGGAGCTATAAATCAAACCCTGCAACCGCAAATAAATGATGACAAACAGGCGAGTACAAACAAAGGAGTTGTGATTCGACCCCCACAACAACATGTAGCCGAGTAAACACGTATGTCAATTTGAGAATAACATAACATCAACAGTCAGTAAGGTCCAAAGTTTTTATATAGCCATTTGATTGAACTTATATGTGCAGTAAAGGTTCTCTGTACACTCTCTAGATCTGCAGTTTTGCTTGCTTTGAACGGAGATGTTAATGTACAGCAATATTCCAGCCTAGAGAGAACAAGTGATTTGAAAAGGATCATCACTGGCTTGACATCTCTTGTTTTCAACGTTCTCATTCTCCATTCTATCATTTTCATTGCGACTGTAATGGTAGCACTGCCGCGATCCTTGTAAGTGAGATCCTCAGACATTACCACTCCCAGGTCCCTCACACTATTTTTTTGCTCTATTGTATGATCAGAGTTTGTATTAAACTCAGTTCTAATTATTATCTCCTCCAGTTTTCCACAACGGAGTAGTTGGAAATTTGTCTTCATTGAACATTATACTGTTTTCTGTTGCCCACTGGAAAACTTGGTTTATATCTTCTTAGTAGATACAGCCCATAGATCCTCTCCCCTTGGTAGGTGTGCCCGCTAGATGCTCTCCTAGTACACGTGATCCCTAGATTCTCTCTTCTTGGTAAATACACTAATTGATTATCACACCTTGGTAGATATGGCCCATAGCACCACTTCCACTGTTTTCTGTTTTCTGTTGCCCACTGGAAAACTTGGTTTATATCTTCTTGGAGGTTAACCGTGTCCTAAACAGATGACAGTCTCATGCAGATCCTAGTATCGTCTGCAAAGGATGACATGGTGCTTTGTATTACATCTGTCTATGTCTGATATGAATATAAGGAACAGGATGGGGGCGAGTACTGTGCCTTGTGAAACAGAGCTTTTCACTATGACAGCTTCTGATTTAATTCTGTTTACCACTACTCTTAGTGTTCGATTGGTTAGAAAGTTGAAGATCCATCTCCCTGCTTTGCCAGTTATTTCTTTAGCACGTAGTTTGTGCGCTATTACACCATGATCACACTTGTCAAAGGCTTTTACAAAGTCTGTATATTACATCTGCATTATGTTTTTCTTCCAGTGTATCCAAGACCATATAGTGATCCAGTAATGCGAGAGGCAGGAACGACTTGCTCTGAACCCATGTTGCCCTGGATTGTGCAGTTTTTGGGAATCCAAGTGCTTAGCAGTCTTTCAAAGATTTTAATGATGTGGGACGTTAGAGCTAATGCTTTGCTGCTACCTTTATGGAGTGGGACTATATCCGTTGTTTTTAGTGGCTTGAATTTCACCCATGTCTAAGCTCCTTCTCCATAGTATACTTAGGGCACGCGAAAGGGGCTTCTTGCAGTTTTTATCGAACACAGAGTTCCATGAGCCGAGGCATGGGGCTGAGTGGATACCCGTCGTGTATTCAGTTGCCAGGAATCGCCAGGATCCTACCACGCGAGCCACTTGTTTAAAAAGTTATACGTACAGCTAGTCCTACGTGTGTATAGCAATACCACAGAGTACAATATTGTGGAAACACGAAAGGGTGTACAAATCTTGTGGAACTATTAAAAGAATGTACAGGCATTGGAAATACGATAGAAAAATAAGAGAAAAAAGCAACAATATAATGACATCAATATAATGACATTTAACTTTGTAAATATACAGGGTATAAAGCCGTCAACAAAATTCCTTACATCAAGGGACTATTCACGGAGTCAAATGCAATGTTTGCAGCTTCCACAGAGACCCACATACAGGATCATTTTGACATCGAAATATGGATCCCGGGTTTTAATGTATTCAGATGCGACAGACTACACAGGCAACAAGGGGATGGTTGGCTTGTACATCACAGAGTCGCTCATTTGCTCAGAACACCTCAAATGATGTAGTTGAAACTTTGGCAGTAAAGATTGAAAACCAAAACCTTGTCATTGCGGTTGTATTCAAGCCTCCGGATGCAATTTCCCAGCAATTCCAGGTACAAGTTTTGAAAATTGACCACTGTCTAGAAAATCTCCCAACTCCTGCCCCCAACACCT